CTACTACTACTAGTAATATTATTATTATTATTATTAATAATAATAATAATAATAATAATAATAATAAGCTACCTGTCTCCCAGCAACTCAAGGACCCAGCTTCTTTGGGAAGAGAAAGAGCTACCACCTACCATGTTCAAATAGTAACTTTCAAGCTTCCTCTCACTTTTGCTGTTGGGATGGAATAACTTTATTACAAAATCTTGCCATAATTACATGTTCACATTATAGTATTATGGCTAACAAGACCATAATAGTTTTGTCTGGTAAATGCAAAACAACATTGACCAAAATTGCTTTATAAAACTGTTGCATCTTCTTTACAAGTAAATTGACTTACAACTGGTAGATGCTTTCTGACTGAAAGCTATCTTAATATATCTTCCTAGATGTATTGAGAAGAATGAATATTTTCAACATACCCAAAAAAATAACTTTAGGACTTCAGTGAGATGTGAATGCCTCTGCAGCTTGTCCTCACCACTATGTTACTTGGTAGATGAAGGGATGGTGTATGCAGATAATCAGGAATTTCTGGTTCTTGGTATGCAGGTAAAAAAAGCAGCTAGATGTATATTTGTATATGTTTGCTATTAGAGATTATTTGAAAATGATAACTACATTGGCATGTTTCACAAATATTGCAAATATAAATTGAATTTATATCACTGAGCTTTAAGGAGGAGTCAGTACAGCACAATCAGACTTGTAAGATTCTGTTATTATAGCCAATCTCAATAAACGTAGCTTTAGCCTTCCTGTTGAATTGATTTAATGGCCTGGTTTATCTAGTGGGGCTGACACACACTGACATAATCTAAAGTATCATCATGCATTGGGATTATACTTTTCAGGGAAGGAATGTGAGTTACAGTATCTAAATCAAAAAGATAAAGTAGTATCAGATAAAAAATCAAAATGCTGTTTGCTTGGATCAATGTGAGAGGAAAGATGCTAGACTAGAGGGGCGTCTGGTCTCATCTAACATATTGGTTGATATGAAAGGCAAGAAGTTGAGTATGAAAGGAAATGGACATTGAGATTGAGGAGAGTGAGCAAACTGTCCAAAGGAAATGAAAGAAAAAGGAAAAAGAAGGGGTGGCCCTTCTGCTGCAAGGGGATTATAAGATAGTAACAGGTGACCAGGAAAAGGCAGAGATTCTTCCTTTGCTTTCCAAAGGAAAATATGTTGATTTGAGCAGAACATCTGACAAAAGGAGGCGGTGGCAAGTAAAGAGACAGTTAGGGAGCACCAGGCTACCATGAGCAAGTTTCCAGGACCAGATCAATGATATCTGAGTCTTGTAGAAATTTGTGGATATCATCTGAGAGCATCTTTCTGTGAACCGTGAGAATTCATTGATAATAAACATGCTGAAGGACAAATATTGTTCTTGTCTTCAAAAGGGGGAAAAAAGAACCCGACTAACTATGGTCCAATCAGCTTGACGTTAATACCAGGCAAAACTCTGGAACAGCTTATTTAAAAAATGCGTCACTTGGCAGGAGCTAGCATTGGTTTATAAAGAAGAAATCATGCCAGATTAATCTTATCTCCTTTTTATAGTGTGGCTAGTTTAGATGACAGCAAGAATGAGATGGACATTATATACCATAACTTCAGCAAAGCATTCAGGAACATCTCCTATGAGATTTTAGTAGAGAAGGTGGTAAAAAGTGGACTTACACTATGCTATTAAATGGATACAGAGCTAGTTGAATGCTTGTATCCAATATGTGTATATTAGTAGCTCCAAATTAAGCTGGAAGTGTTGTTGAGTGATGTACCATAGAGTTTCATTCTAGTCCTATGCTTTTCAAAGTATTTATACATGATGTTGGATAAATGGTTAGAAAATACATTTTTCAAATGTGCAGATGATACAAACATGGGGTGGCAAATGCCTTAGAGGACAGTATCAAGTTTCAGGAGGACCTTGATGAGCTGGAACAATGGGCAGAAACAAGGAAGATGAATTTCAGTGGGAACAAGTGTGAAATCCTACCTTTGGTTACGAAAAATCAGAGGCATGAATATAGGATGGGGAGAACCATACTGACCAGGATGTGAACTTTTTCAGAGAGTGTTTCAATTAAGTCCATGATTGTGCCATTTTCCATTTCATTTTTTGTTTGCTTGTCCATGTGATTGTTGTGGATTATCTAATAGGTTATAATTTTATGATGTAGATTTCAGATTTTTATGCTGAACATTTTAATTAACTTTTTATAACTTGGAAGTTACCTAGAATCTTTGGACTGTGGCAGGATATAAATATGATAAATGTATGCACATGCATGCAAAAAAAATTCAGGATATCTTGAACCAACAGTGTGATGCAGCTGCAGGAAAAGCAAGGCTGCAATCACAATACTCTACTGTCAAAAACAAGACACATCATCTATTCGGCATTGGTCAAATCATACCTAGAATATTACAGCCACCGCATTTTAAAAAGAGCATTTACAAATTGAAATATGTTTATAGGAATGCAACCAAAATCATAAGTGTCTGGAAGATAAAAGTTATAAGGAATTATTTGAAGTGTTGGCTGTGTTTAGCCTGGAGAAGAGAAGAATATGTAGACACACGAGCTATCTTCAAGTATGTAAAGGACTGTCATGTAGAAATGTTCAAATTTGTTCCAGAAGATAGAACAAGAAACAGTGTTTTCAAACTGCAAAGAAGAAGATTTTAGTTGAATGTCAGGAAAAAAATCCTAATGGTAAGAGCTGATTAGCAATGGAGCAGATTGGCTTGGGAAGTGGTGGACTCTCCTGTGATGCAAGCATTTTTAAACAGAGGCTGAATGCCATGTGTGAGAGATGCTATATTAGGGGTTGCCTAAACTGGGCAGATGATCTCCAGGCTCCCTTCCAAGCCTAACACTCTATGATTCTAGAGAACACTAAAATTTCATTCAATTATTTTAATTATGATTTTGGGTCAATAAATTAAGGTTTCATTGGGTTAAGATTAAACTTAGATGTGCTAGTTTAGTATGAATTTAATTATTGGACATAAGTTTGCATTAGATTTATATTCCTCATTTTAATTAGAATCTGTTTTACAGCTTCTGGTCTTTCATGCCAAGAGAACACCAGTAATTATATCTGAGATGTTTGGTGTATTTTGAGAAAATATAGCAATTTATTAGAGTGAGGTATAAATACATATTTCAGTTTTTTCAGGGGTACAGAAAAACATCAAAGATGCTACATAAAATCCAGTATGAAATGTTCAGTTTACTTATTCAATACCTTAAAAAGAAACCTTTGAACAGTGAAATCAGCACACAGAATAAACTTATATACATCATTTTAGAATTAATGGAAACCACTTTTACCTATCCAAACAAGCATAGGGAACTTAGTATCTGATCCATCCATTAATGTACATATGAGATGTGAAGTTAAAGTATTTCAATTTGCGACAGCATTTTGTACATCTTAAAATGTATCTCATTATTACTTGTAGAGTGGGTCTCCTTATATTTTGATTGTTTGTAGCTCAAAAATTATAATGAAACCTGAGGTTGGACACAGGACTTAGTCATTAGATTTTTATTGGTGACTTTTATCAAACAGCAAATATCTATAACAAGGGCTTCAAACTTTTTCAGGCTGTAATCCTTGTTAGTTTAAAACTTCCCAGAATCCTTGATCAAGGGGCAAAGCTCTAGTGATAGAAAGTTGGCTGCATTTGAGTGAATTTCCCTCCCCCCCTTAATTTCTCCAGGAACCCCATCAAGTTCTCATGGAACACTAGGATTCCATGGAACACCTTTGAAAAACCATGATTTATAAAACGTTTATATTCAAGGATTTAAACATTCCAGGCAGCTTATTCATATAAAATGAGTAGCACAAAATCATTGCCTCCTGCACACAGTGGTACTAGGGGAAAGAATCCTATAATGCTCCACAGAATTATTTTTCATTCTGCAAAATAATAAATATAAAGAGAATATCAGTTTGCAGATTTCTATACATCTGTATGTATATGTATATGTACATGTGCATGTGGTATATCAGATTTTCATCATATTGAATATAATATTTCCTTTAAAAGGATGGAAGAATTCTGTTTCTCCATACATCAATTCAAAACTTGGTATATTATGAGATGGCTACCTATAAAGATCCTGTAAGTGCATTTTTCCTAATGTTTATTTAAATTTAAGGTCAATATATGTACTAACATGGGTTTGTTTCTTGTTTCAAAATTCAGTATAACGCCAATTAAAATTATACATTGACATGCTTATTCTTTTCAAATAAGGTTTGGTTGTGTGCGATGGATATCACAGAGATCTGCTACACTGGACAGATCTTCATTCACTTTGGAATCTTAGAAGCTGACAGGACAATTTCAGTACAATTATATGAAAATTATCATTTCAGTAGTTACTAATGTTGTTTCCAAAAGGCTGCTGAAAGAATAGTCCTACATGTTACTACTACCTTGAGTTGCTGTGCCCTTTATGTAATAAAGATTGACACACAGTTATTGAATCTATGCATAGAAGGTTATGTACAATACAGATCTCTGCATATACATGCAAAGGATTCTTTCATTTACTTCAGTGGAAATTGGTTATGGTTTTTTCAATCACAAAATGCCAAAATCCATTAACACTTGTTTTATCAACTCCTAAAATGGTGTAGGTTATACATGATCATATCTTGCATGATTTTTCCCATGACTGGTACTTCTGGCATTCAGAAAAAATAAAGGTTGAGGTTCCTCAAATTTCTAGTTAGAAGAAGTGGTTAGTAGAATGTTGGCTGAGTTCACTGAGTTTAAGCTGCATGATAAGCGTAAAATCATAACTTGCCACAGATCCTATCTGATTTTATTTATTTATTTATTTATTTATTTATTATAAAAGGACTTATATGGCTCACAACAATCCATAAAACATAGTTAAAAACATACCCTTTCCCCTGGGCACCAGACCGAACAAATGAAACATGTTTAATTTGTTAAAAAATGGAAGCTAGCATGTACAGATCAAAACCTCCAACACACACACACACACACACATATATGCACTGTATATATATATATATTCTCATCAAGAGTGAGCCTAATATTCTTTTGTTAGAAAAATTAAAGTAATGGTTTATTTGGAAGTATGCTCAACTGTCCAAAAAAAAAAAAAAAGGACAAATGAAAGTAAGAGAGTAAAGGTGGTGGCATGTAGCATTCTGGAAAATCATGGCAACCATTTTGTGAACCTGGGAAGCCCACTGAGCAACCATTTTGGGGCAGCCCATGTGATTTTAATTAAAAAAAAATCTTTGCAATCACAGCAATTATTACATTTCTGAGTTTCAAACTTACTTTGTAAGAATTTAATGTTATTAAATATTTATTCGAAATAATTATTGCTACCTTAACATACCAGTATTTTGCTTCCAAAAACTATATAGGAGTATTAATCCAGTGGTCCAATAACCTTTTACATTTTTTTCCTATTTTTATTTTTATATATCACTTAGTCAGAAATTGCTTTCATTAAAAATACATTCACCATTTAGGTCATCCATTTACAACATGATACAGCCTATCGACAACTGGTAATCATGTGCCAGAAACCAAAATACAAATTGATTCACTTCAGAAGCTTACCTTCTCTGGAACTGGTCTTTCAAGTTTATATACCGAACGATGGCATTGTTTTCACAAGGCTTGTGAGTAATAGGAATAGTTGTGTAATATTGTGAGTGTATAGTTGAATGACATATTGCTGAAAGGACTATAATTATTTATGAATTATAACTGCCGGTTTCCTTATGATTCCTCTAATCATATGGTATGGCTCCTATATGTTATTTGATATATCTGGATATATCTTTGCAGCTAGTCATACAGGAGAAAAGGTTTCTAGTTGTGGAGATACAGTATATGTGGAGATTTTTAAATATTTGAATTTATTATCCCAAGATTCTTGAACAGTGAGCACTTTTATTACACGCAAAGTATAAAATGGTTTTATGGACATTTGTCAAAAATCTGTGCAAAATAGATATGACCAGCTGTCTTTCAGCTTTCATTATCTATGGAGATTTCTGCTAAAGTATTGTAATTCTTGCCAAGTTGTCTTTTAGACGTTCCCATATGACATACATCATTGTCGTGATTTAGGACTAATGGTACTGAACAGCCATTACCTTACATAAAATAATTCTCTTAATAATGAAAGTGTGGAAGAATACTAGTAAATGTATGGAATAACAGCCCTCTGATAAAAAAACATTTACTAATTTTATATGCTTAACCGTTCAGTTTTATGTACGTAGTTGTTATAATTCCTCTGTGTTAGGAAAGAGAAAAACTAGCAACAGGAATTCTTTATCTGAAAACACATCTGTTTTTATACATTAGGTGAAAAAGCAAGGATTTGATGGCTACTCTATTATAAAGCCTTTGTTCAATCTGAATCCGTATTTTTTACTATGGACTAAAGCTATAAACACAGTGGACAATGTTTGTATATAACAAATTAAAATAATATGCATATTTCAGGACAGATCACTTTTTATTGGCCTGAAATCTGGCACTGTGGATATTTTAAGTATTCTAGAGGAAGGCAATGAAATGACATTTCCTGAAAAAGGTATGAATAATACATTCATTGTTAATAATTTAATGTACAGATAAATTAGAAGACTTAAAACATAGGTCTGTGTAGTAGAAATTTTTCTAGCATACATCACTAACACATGGTTCCCCCTCCCCTGGATACCTGATTCTATGGCTGGATTCAAAACAAGCACAGTGAGCAAGAAGGGACAGTTTATAACCATGGTTTAGCATGCTGTATAAATCCAGCTGTTTGCTTAAAGCAAGCCCCACTTATTTGAAGCATATGCACAAAGGATTGCAATTTAATTCACTTATGTTGTCATGGTAACAATCTAGTTTCTGTTCCTTGATGAGTTTTATCTTTAAATTACATACTTACCATTTAGTTGGGCATCATGCCCAGAAAAGACCATTTAAATATTGTGCAACTGTTATTTAGATTACAAGAAACTTCAAATAGATAACATGGCTACTCCATGAAGTATACTATGTAGATGCAATTTATATAATTAAATTAAATCCTCTGGCTTTAAATATTCTAGTTTTATATTTTCATACCATTATTCTAGCAGAAACATTTTAATGTTTAACATTTATTTAAATTTGCTTTCCTTATGTGTATTATTGTTAAAATTAGCCCTAAACCTAACCATATTTCTTAAGCTGGTTTAAGTAGAAGTATGACGCTTTTGTTATCCTTGCTCTAGTTCAAATAGCTTAAATAAGTATTGAATGCAAGTGAAAAACCAGTGTGTTGATCACCGGTAGCTCCATCCATGTTTGCAAAAATAAGAAGCATAATAGTTTTTGTTTTACAATATATGATTTTATTATTAGTCATTTTGAGAGCTAATAAAATGTGGAATAGTAATTCAATACTTACTGAAAGTTACAAAATATAAACAATGCACATAGTTCCTGTATTGCATTGGCAGAATATTTTAAAAATACCATTCTTTGGAGGGAGTACTGCATGATGACATTTTTAATACAAGAATTCATAAAATTAGCTAAAGTTGATGAATGTGTGAAGTAATTGCCCCAGGGATAAATAGTTCAGACGTTATTTGCCAGAAAGTGGATAACTGCTATAATTTTTTTTTTAAGCTCTGTTTTAAATACACAAATTTGTTTGTCTTTTACACTAAAGGTGACAAATTAAAAGCATTAATCTCAAAATGGAATTCTGGAATTACAGTGTTAAAATATGTTTAAAGTTTTGCGAAACACCTGTGTGAATGTTCTTAACAGCCAAGGTTCTGGGGAAATAGCAGGAGATGGAGAGTTAATGAATGTAATTGCTGAGATCATACTGTTACATGTCTCTGAATGAAAATTATGGTAGTGTGGAAGGACATACAGTAGTTGTGTAATATGAACCATCTCTTTATCTCTCTCCATTTTGGCTCAGAGATGTATTAGTATTGGGACAATAGAATCAGAACCAACCAAATGTACTCTAGGTTTCATCTTAGTCGTATCTTGCAAAGAGAACATAAGTACATGATTTTGTGTAGATCAGTGTTGTTTTTCACCTGTGGCCCCCTTGAAATATCCTAGGGCCCCCAGGGGACCATATGGTCCCAGTTGAGAACCGCTGGTGTAGATCATTAGTATATGATCCAAAAAAATCAGTGTCTACAGGCTTATTTTTTTTCAAGGGATTAATACGTCCTTACCAGGAAGGGACGATGCCAGAAGACTGAGTAATTTTTTTTCACAATTGACAAGTGTTCTCTCCCTGCATAATACTGTACTGTGTAATACGGTTCTTGTCACCTACTTAATTCCACCCACAAATATTTTAGTCAGGAGTTCTGTAACACTTTTCAATTATTTTGTACAGTTTAACTTTTGTCATTCAGTTGCTTTCAAGTCTTTGTGACCTGTTGAACATCATTTTGTCAGGACTGTCTATCAGTAACTGCTTATTTGAGTTTTTGTAAACTCATCCTTGTATATTCAGTGATAGTATATAGGTACCTCATCTTCTGTCACTCTCTTTTTCAGTTGCTTTCCATTTTTTTAAACATTTGGTCCTTCTCCAATGACTTTTGCTTTCACATTATGTGTCCAAAATATTTAAGCTTTAGCTTCATTATTAATGCTTCTAGTGAGCAGCAGTTCACTTTATTCCAGCTGAAACTGCTGTAGATGTAATAAATACATCTGTTTTTAAGTTGTTCCTAATAATGGGCAATTACAATTCCATTTATCTGGTATATTTTTTCTTTTTATTTATTAAATATTTTTGAATAAGCAATTAAAAACAAAGAGGGAGATCACAGTAGTTTACAAAGACATGTTTTATCTCAACTATCTCATAACGGTAAATATTAAATATCTATTAAAATATAGAGAAAAAACTTCTCTCTTGAACAATGTTTAAGTGCATATTCAGGGCCAAACCAAACATGACATAGACAAACTTTGCAGTGCTGTGGTCACTGTTAAAACAAAAGGAGGGGTCCAGTTTTAACTACAATGAAGATATGTGAGGAGCTGAAATTTATTCCTAGAAGTTTTCTTCCTTTCTTCAATCTTTCTGTGATACTGTCATTTCTGCAATTCAGTTATTTCTGAACTCAGAAATGAATCCAATGGGAGAGAGCCCATGGGGATGCAATTAGTCATATATTAGTGTTCTTTAGCTCTTAAAAATGGGCACTTTGAACACCTCCCAAGCACTTTTTATTGTGAAGGGGTTCTTTTGAGAAATGTTACAGACCACCTACAAATAATTTTAAAGGTCAATATTCAGCTGAAACCAGAACTTTTCTTGCTGAGACTAATGGATAGACAATTAGAAAAGAGTGATGGAACATTGTTTTTTAATATGATAACTGCTGCAAGATTATTATATGCACAAGAATGGAAAGATTCTGAAATACCCACAATGGAGAAATGGTTGGCAAAGATGACAGAATTAGCAGAGATGGCAAAATTGACTTGTCTGATTAGGGAAAGGACAATAACCACATTTATTAGCAACTGGAAACCCCTTATGGACTTTTTGCTGAAGAAAGAAAAAAAATGAACTTGTGATTTATGGGTTTGATGAAAGGGTAGATTATGGAAAGAAGGAAATTATGATGTAATTTTAGAGCAAGAGGGCAAAATATAAATGCATTTATAACCATTGTTAAGAAGATTGGAAGCTGCTTCTTTATAATCTTTTCTATTTTCTTTCTTAACTATTCACTAATTTTGTTTGTTTTCCTTATTTCTTCTCTAAAATTTATACTGTTTTTATCTTGTTAAAATTTTATTTAATAAAAGTTATAAAAGAAATAGTACCGACCACCAACAAAGAGACTGTTGTTATCTTTCCTGTGTTTCCAGGGTGGCCTTTATTATATAAAAGTTTTACAAACTTATTTCCTAACCTTATTAGATATCATTTGAGTATATGTTACAAATTATATACCATATTTTATTGTGTTATAGTATCAATATAAGTCTTAATATATTAGAATAATTGACAATGTTGTTGTTACAGATTTACAGGTTTTATAGGTTCAATCTCATGGGTTAGTTTTAATTGATTATATGTAGGTCCTGTTTATTTTTATAGGTTAATAGGCTTTGTAGGACTACAGGATATGATGGAATGGAATTATGAAGGCCAGACTCAGGAATATAAACATTTTCCTAGCCCGCCAGGGGGGGGTGGGAGATACAAGAGGATGAGACTGGCACCTCCCTGAGGAATTCATC